TTCTCGCCAAAGATATTGATCACTGTCGTGTTACCAATCCCAATGACGAAGGTGGCTAGTTCATTATCATGACTAAGGGACAATTTATTGGCTATCTCTGTGGCCCGAAGCCCTTCTGTATCAACAACTAAAATATAATCAAAGTTCAAATCCTGCTGGAGATTTTCCTCCACCTTAATCAGCTGCATGAAGGCTCCCCTGGTGCATCTTCCCGCACTGACGCTGAACTGGAGACCAAACATGATGTTCAGGAGGGTGGATTTCCCAGAGCTCTGGATGCCAAGCACGGAAAGAACAAACACCCTCCTGTCTCCCAGCGTCTCAACTAGTGAGTTGAAAACTGCTCTGACCCATTTCAGTGGCACATAGGAAGCGTCACCGTCCATCAGCTCCATGGGATACCCCGACACCATCAGGTCAACTGCTATTTGAGGAAGTTTAAGAAAACTATTATCTCTTTTGTCCATCGCATCCAGCGCTTCATAAATCTGACCTGCAATTGTAGAGTCATTGATCTCAGCTGAGAGTTTATCTAAATCCACTTGCGACTGAGTTTTCAACCTATTTCCTTCTGTTTTCTTTACCAGCATTTCAGACCATAGCGTGTGGTATTTCTGGTGAAGTTTTACAAGACGGTCAGAGGATAAGTCATCCATAAACACTTTCATCCACTGCAGGAAGTACTTTTGAGAGGCCTCTGGATGTGAGTGGAGAAATTCCAGCACTGATTTCATTAGTGTATTGAGGGGAAATGCCTTACTCAGCTGATCACATCGTATTGCAGCTTTCTCCGATTCGATCTGGCTCCGGTGCTGTTCAATGCTTATGTTCCCTTTATGATGCAAGCGGGTAAGTTCCTTGTCCTTCTTACACCACTGGTGCCATAATTTTCCTTGCAGAGGCAAGAGCTCTCCCTTCATGCTTGCTAAGGGATGCTCTTTCAAGAGACCCGTCAGTTCCTGGGCCTTTGCCTTGGCTTCCTTGCACTCTTCCTTGTCTGTATCAACGAGGAAGCCCTGCCGGCGAGCCGCAGTCACACAAGCATCCAGACTACGAGTGGTGATGGAGCCTGCCAGTAAGTCTCTGATTGTTGCTGTGATTTCATCTATTAATTCTGCCTCGTTTCTGTTCTTGATGCCTATTCTGATGTTCTGGCCTGATTTCTGAGACCCAGTATTGTCCTTTTCAGCAAAAAGGCAGATCAAAGGCTTTGGGGATTGCCAGAGATCACGGAGAATTGATTTGCTCCTTGTGTCCTTCTGATCCGTATCTGACAAGAGAACCACGTTGACCGACGCGATCTCCTGTAGGAATGTGCCCTGTGGCTCGTGCTCTCTGGCGTCCCCGTGCAGGTTGGTGAATGCGACACAATTGTCGAATCTGTCATCGTCCTTTCCCCCTGGGCAGTACCAGGCGATTTCCACAACCCCCTTCATCAGCAGGCAGTCTCTGCTGCTGCCCCTGCAGTGACGGTGGAAAAACACGTCATGCTTGTGCTTACTCAGCAGGGCGTTCAGGATCTGGGACTTAGACGAATGAGGCGACTGGCCAATCCGGGTGAAGGACACCAGGGGCGTCTCTGCTTGGTAAATCAGTGTGTTATAATTTGTAATGCTGGTCTGCTCTCCTGACTTTTTGGCACTTTTCCAGCTCTTTTGAACCTGGCTCAGGGCCCACAGGGGGAATTCTATTTGTGCCGTGTGAGGATTTGGCACCAGCAAGGGGAGTGCAAACTGGCAGAAAGCGAGCTTCGTTGCAACATATTGTCTCATGAAATCATCGGCACAGTGAAAAATTGCCATCTGGAGATCCATTGGGTGCACGTGTCCCTGGCTTGTAGCAGATTCATGGGCTCCCTCACTAAGATCATCAAAAAAGTCATCAAACGTCTCTGAGGAGTCACACTCTTTGTCTGTGGCATTCAACCCCCTTGTTATAGCTGGTTTGGTTTGACCCTCATCCTTACAAACCAGGTACCGGACCCGATAGTCCACCATTAACAGCTTTTGCAAAAAACAAAATGGCAGCTGATCCTCTGTGCGGGGCTGGCTGTCCTGCAAGGATTCCTCAGTAATGAGATGGAAAGTGGCTGTCCCCATTTTCCTAGGGTAGTACTTATCCAGTCCAAGTCGTTTCATTAAATTCAAGAACTCCTGATTTTCATTAGTTTCACATGTTTCAACACCAGTAGATGGCACTTTCAATTTTATTTTTGATTCCTTTTCTCTTTGACAGACGTCTTCTAGTTCTCTGATTATCTCCTGTTTCTTCAAACTAACATTCTCAGCTTTAAAATTCCCATTTAAAAGGCAATTTAAGTCTCTTTCCAGAACTTCCCAATTGTCCTGAGCACCGTGCTTTCTAAGAAGATTTGATATTTCATTGGACAGTACGTTTCCCATGTGACATTTCATAAATGTCAAACGTTTAGTCTTCTCCTTCAGAGTTACACTGTTGAATTCCGTGGTCACTGTCAGACCTGTCAACAGCA